CATAGGGAGGTCCACCGAAGGCCCCATTGGCTGTGCTCGCATGGCACCACCGCGCCCACCTCGGCAGACCCGTCACACGCTTCGTGGCCCCCAATGGAGCTCCACCGAAGGCCTCTGTGGCTGCGCTCGCATGGCACCACTGCACCCGAGTCGGCACACCCCTCACACATTTCGTGGCCCCATAGGTAGCTCCACCGAGTGCCCCAGTGGCTGCGCTCGCATTGCGCCACCGCACCCATGTCGGCACACCCCTTACTCGTTTCGTGGCCTCCAGCACTGAAGCTCCACCGAGGGCCCCAGTGGCTGCGCTCGCATGGCACCACCGCACACATGTATCCCAATAAGGAGCTCCACCGAGGACCCAAGTGGCTGCGCTCGCATGGCACCACCGCGCCCATCTCGGCACAACCCTCACACGTGTGGGGTCCACATAGGGAGCTCCACCGAGGGCCCCAGTGGCTGCGCTCGCATGGCAGCTCCGACGAAGGCCCTTCAGGGTGCGCTCGTATGGCACCACCGCGCCCATGTCGGCATACACCTTACACGTTTCGTGGCCCCAGGGAGGTCCACCGAAGGCCTCAGAGGCTGCGCTCGCGTGGCACCACCGCACCCATTTCGGCACAACCCTCACACGCTTTGTGGCCCCCAATGAAGCTCCACCGAGGGCCCCAGAGGCTGCGCTCGCATGGCACCACCGCGCCCATTTCGGCACAACCCTCACCCGCTTCGTGGCCCGATAGGGAGCTCACCGAGGGCCCCAGGTGCTGCGTTCGCATGGCACCACCGCAGCAATTTCGGCACACTTCGCACGGTTCGTGGCTCCATAGGGAGTTCCACCGAGGACCCCAGTGGCTGCGCTCGCATGGCACCATCGCGCCCATTTCGGCACACCTCTCACACGTTTCGTGGCCCCCAATGGCGCTCCACCGAAGGCCTCTCTGGCTGCGCTCGCGTGGCATCACCGCACCTACTTCGGCACACCCCTCACACGTTTCGTGGCCCCCATAGGGAGCTTCACCGAATGCCCCAGTGGCTGCGTTTGCATGGCACCACCGCGCCCACGTCGGCACACCTCTCGCACGTTTCGTGGCCTCAGGGATCTTCACCGAGGGCCCCAGTGGCTGCGCTCGCATGGCGCCACCGCACCCACTCTGGCACACCCCACACGCGTTTGCATGCGCCTGCCGCGCTCATTTGGATACATCCCTCATGCGCTTCATCGCCCCATAGGGAGCCCCACCGAAGACGATACTCACAACTGTGTTACTCACAACTGCATATGGTTGGGTCTTTCGCCAAGGTAATTCTTAATCGTCATCCTGCATCAACTAGCACTTTGGGTTCGTGAGGGGCCATGTTTTTCGGGGCCGTTCCTTAGATCTGGCTGGGGAACCTATTTGTGGCCGAGGCACACCCGTGGCCAGAAAAAAGGCCCCTTTCGTTTTTTCTTGGTAAGGGCTCTGGCCCAGGGTTCTCTTTTAGTTTGTGGGCCCAAGGCCCTCCACCAGAAGGGTGTCGAGCACTAGGCGTCGGAATTGGACACGTAAAAATTACGTGGAGAGGGGGCCCAACATGTGCGGCGGGGGGGCCCAACATGTAAAAATACGTGCGCGGAAGGGGGGACCGAACATACGCCTGGCGCGTGCGCGCGGGGCACCTATTTTCACATGTCCACGGCCCTGGGCGAGGGA